CATACAGCTGAATTCTATATGTAATGTTATACATGTAATAGTTAGTAACAAGATCATGAGTTCAAATTCTGTTGGGATCACATGAATGCAGTAATGTTAGGGGATATGGTTACCCCCGTATAAATAACCCCCCACAAAAAAGTATTGGCACATACCTTCAAGAGCCTTTCCAGGTCTGGTGGCCTAGGGATCGCCAGTGATATAAGTGCTGCAAGCCGGCCAGCCTCCTCTCTCCAACCTTTGACTTCCTCGTCACTAACATATGCCCCTGACGACAAGGATAGGCCCGGCTGAAGCAGGGTACACAGGGCTTTATGAAGCCGACCGACTAGCCAGCTCATGGAATCAGAAGTACTACTCGTTAAATCGTTGTCAATGCCAACATGATCCTCGTCACCACTTTGCAGCCATGAAAGAAAGGTCGATTGTAATTGCCCTGTTTTCACGACGAAGAAGCAGACCACAGTGTTTACAGAAGAGGACAAAGCAAAGCACAAAAAGCCTTGAAAAGGGGGTTTAAAGGGGGGTAGCAATTGGGATCGATTGGCAAACCCATCAAACCACCATGCATATGCACAAAGACAGCACCAGCGTGAGAACAGGGGGGGGGGGGGGGGGGGGCAATAGAAGTTCACACCTAACATCAACAGGGCTTAGCACAACCCCTTCCATGTGCTGAAAACAAGACTTGAAAAGCTATTGACGACGTCTCCCCATAAAAGACAAAAACTACAAGAGACACAGAGCTATAAACAAACAGGGAAAAGAAATGAGGGATTATGAGGCCTATCGACAATTGCAGTATTGACGACTGCCTGAGAAAGGGGGTTGTTGATTGGGGGGGCGGGTGCGGGAGGGGGAGATATGGAGAAGAAAAATTCATAGATAGTCTGAAAAACAAGAAGTCCGAGTGAGAAAATTACAACGACTGATTGCATCCTCGTGCATCCCTGTGAATATATGACTCAGGAGTCAGGACCCATCCGTACTGGTGGTCTGTCCGTGCTCAGAGAGCATGAAACTGGTTTCAAAAGATGACCAAGTTCATGCTATCTTAGCACAATCATAACACCCCACGACGTGCCAGGCCCATGTTTGGAAACACAAAAGCTGTGATCTTAAACCACTAGTACCTTTGTCGAGTGGGAAAATAGCGGGCCTCAGGTGGGCCTCCGACCTTTTCGGAGGCCGAAACGAAACGATGGCCACCGATGAGATTTATCAATGGCACCCATCGTCAGGCCCGGCCTCCGTTTTTTTAGGAGTTTGGGAAAACTGCCAGTTTTCCTAGGAAGATTCTCACGCCCAGCCAGTCCTGCCCGGCCGGGCACCCGGGCATGATGCCCGGGGTACCCGGGCGTGCAAAAAAATCAAAACAAAACAAAACAAAACAAAACAAAACAAAACAAAACAAAACAAAACAAAACAAAACAAAACAAAACAAAACAAAACAAATTGGTTTTCTGCGCTCCCCCACAGGACCCCAAATCCGGGCTCATTTCTTTTTTTGAGAGTTGGCTGTCAAGGGGGCGCAGGGGGGTATACATTGGTTTTAAAGGGGCTAATGGGTTTAAAGGGGGGTGCCTTAGTGTGATTCTGTTATTTATTCTTTCAATTTCTTTGTCATCTCCGAGATTCTTTTTGCGCTGGGTCTGCCCGAAACCCTGCCCGGGGTTCATGCCCGGCCGGCCACCCGGGCGTGTACCCGGGCATAAGTTGGGTGCCCGGGCGCCCGGAAAAACAGCCTAGATTTTCATGAATTTAAAAATTAAAAATTAAAAAGAAATAAAAGGCAAACAAAAACGAATGCAAGAGCAGATGACAATGTACTCACCACCACAACGAAGAAGCTCCCGTGGGATGCAGGAGACAAACCGCCCAAGGACCGAAACAGACACATCGGGAGGGCGTAGAACAGATGCTGCAGCATTCAGCAAATGATGATGCACTGCACAGAAGCAAGAGAAATAACTACAGGGTATCAAAATGGGGAACGTGAGAAAACATACGGAAACGCCACAGGCAGAGACTCAAGACAAAGGACGTGGAATTACACAGTTAGCTTCAGACATTTCCTGGGTGGGTGCCTGAGTAAAAATGAGTATGGGATGTGGTGTGCCACATGAATATGTTTGGCTTATATATGACTTAAAGTCTTAAACACTGATCTCTGTCATTTCCTAGGTGCTAAAGGTTTTCCCTCGTCATCATGATTGCCATCATCAACGCATTGCCCCCATTGTTGGGGGTGAATTGGCATTGTCCTTGTCATCATCATAGCCCATGCCATCACAGGTATTGTCATAATGATGATGATGATGATGCCGATTATGATGACGATGATGATGATGATGATCCTCAGTCTCCAATTAAGCGTATTGGGGCTTCCTATCCAACATATATATATATATAGTCACAAACAGAACTGCCCGGTAAACCGTATATATATATATCGTCACATATATATCGTCAAATAGAACTGCCCGGTAAACCGTAGGCAGAGAGGGAGAAGAGGACAACAAACGAGGGGCTGTGACAAACTGTTTCGTCGGAG